GGCCAGTGAAGCAACGTCCTCCACAACTAGACTGAAGAACAAAATGACAGCAACTTGTCTGTTCCCCTTCCCCCAATTCCCCAGCACTGTTCCCAACCCCCCAATTCCCCAATAAAAATCTTAAAAAAAAAACAATAAAAGCTGGAGTAACAATACTTATACCAGACAAAATAGACTATAAAACAAAGGATACAACAAGAGACAATGAAGGACCCAATAATCCCACTTCTGGGTACTTATCTGAGGAAACCCAACACACTACTTTGAAGGGACATGTGCATCCATGTGTTCATTGCAGCATTATTTACAATAGCAACCTGGGTGTCCATCAGCGGATGAATGGATAAAGAAGACATGGTGCAAGGGCCGGCTGAGTGGCTCAGTTGGTTAAGAGCTCGCTCAAGAGTTTGAGCTCTGAGCAACAGCGGTTCGAGTCCCGGCCTGAGCTGAGCAGCCACTGAGCTGCCAACAGGTAGCAGGATGGCTCAGCTAAAAAAAAAAGAAGACATGATGCATGTATACAATGGAATATTACTCAGCCATAAAAAAGAATTAAATCTTGCCATCTGCAACAACATGGATGGACCTACAGTGTATTGTGCTGAGGGAAGTAAGTCAGACAGAGAAATACAAGTGTCCTGTGATTACACTAAGGAAACAAAATAAATGAACAAACAAAACAAAAACAGACTCATAGAAACAGAGAAAATTTTAATGGTTGCCAGATGGAAGGGTGGTTGGGGACTGGGTGAAATAGGTAAAGGGATTAAGAAGTATAAATTGGTTGTTATGAAAGTCATGGGGATGTAAAGTAAAGCATAGGGAATATAGCCAATAATATAGTAATAACTAAGTATCGTGCCAGATGGGCACTAGACTAGTAGGGAGATCACTTCTTAAATTATATAAATGTCTAACCAGTATGCTGTACACCTGAAATTAATATAAAATAATATTGAATGTCAACTGTAATTGAAAAATTTTAAAAAGGGGTTGAGAAAGGTAAAGAGGAATAAGAGGTTCAAATTTCCAGGTAGAAAACAAATAAGTCATGGGGATATAATGTACAACACAGGGAATATAGTCAATAATATTGTGATAGCGTGGTACAGTGTCAGATGGTTGCTGGACTTATCATGGTGATCACTTCTTTAGATATATAACTATGGTATACACCTGCAACTAATATAATATTGTATGTTAGCTATATTTTAATAAAAATATTTTTTAAAAAATACTGGAAGGAGACTCTTCAGCAGAAAGGCCAAGTGAAACCATGCAGTCCTGGTTTACCCTCATCTGATTCTAGCTGTCATGGTAATGTTGTTTTCAAAGTATACTTGATCTACAACCCACAACAGATAAAAAGGCAAATGGTGGTACAACCTTGTAAAGATGGAGGTTACCATGAAGGACTCAATAAGGTGTTATGATTTTATAGCCTTTAGGGAAATCAACCCCAAAGATGTTATGTTTGGGTTTTTTTAAAGATTTTATTG